CCTGAGGCTCAACGGACGTCAAGTCGCTCTTCTTCACCGAAGCCCTCCCAACATCCAGGACCTTCAGGAAGGGGAGCAGGTCGGTCAGAATCGCGTACAGATGAGTCGATCCTCCTCGAAGTCTCCTTTTGTCACCGAGGCGAACGGTTCTAGCGACGCTCGCAAGCCATCGGAGAGGGAGAACGAGGTGCTTGCTCCCTCCTCCTCCTCCTCCTCCTCCTCCTCCTCCTCCTCGTCCCTTTCCTCCTCCTCTTCCTCCTCCTCCTCTTCCCCTTTGCTCCCTTTCACTTCCTCATGTTTTCTGCAGGCCGACTCTCTGCAAGACCTGCTGTTCAACAACCTGGCCAACCATGACGAGAAGCGAAATATCCAGCAGCAGCCCAGCAGCTCACGGACGGTGAGCGAGGATGAGATCAGGAGCATCCGAGAGGAAGCCAACAGTCTGATCGAGCAGGTGGAGGCGCGTTTGCCGGGGAGCTGCTGGTGGTTGACGGACTTCCTGCAGGAACGAGCGGCCAACCGCCTGCACGTGGACCGCATGATAGAGGAGCTGAGAGGAGCTAAGGATATGCAGGTAAGGCTCTTGCTAACAGGGTGCCGTTAAGATGACCTGTGACGGGGCAGGAGAAGCTAATGGAACAGAATCTTTTCCTCAAGGAGCAGATCAGGCAAGGCTGCATCCTCTGCCCCCTCTAGTTCTCCCTCGCCTACCTCCTCATACTCCTCCCACTCTCCTTCTTTCAGCTCCCCGCTCTCCTTTCTCTTCTCATCCCTCACAATTGCACTTCTTGCAGGGAGAGCGAGCATGCTCTCAGTCGTGCAGAGAAGATCCCCAACATCGAGTACGTCAAGAACATCGTGAGTCGCTTCAGTCCTCCTCGTTCTCCTCCTCCTCCTCCTTCATCACAACCTCTCCCATCCCCTAAACCTGTTCATCTCCTCAACCCTTTTCCACCTCCTCCCTTCAGCTGCTCCTAGCATAGATGACCGTTCTGTTCGCAGGTTGTCAAATACCTTGAAACACGAGATACCAACGTAAGACAGTCGCTCCTCCTCCCTCCTCCCCACGTGCTCATTGTGTCGGCAGGTCCTCCAGATCCTCTGCACATCCCTCCAGCTCAGTGACGCGGACGTGGCAAGGATACACAGCGGTCAAGCTCCGAAGGTACGCTATCCTCCTGCTATCTATCTCCCTTTCTCTTTCTTGGCCTTGTTCTGCTTACTGGGCCTCGGCAGGGGATGTTATCTTGGTTGGGCTAACTTGTAACGGTGGGTCGGCTGGCCGGCCCTGCCCGACCGAGTCAGCCTCTGAGCCCCGGCCGGTGACTCGGAGGCCCTCAGCTGAAGCTCCGGGTGTAAATTTGTAAATATACTGAGATCAGTGATACCCTGGCATCGCCCCGTGACCGTGACGGAAGGAGTCAAACGCTGAACTTCAAGCGGCAGTGAACGTACAACTCAGTGACTGCTACTCGGTCAGCGCGGCACTGCTGCACCCCTCCCCTGAAGTTCCGATGTCAAGTTCAAGCTGCCAGCCGCTGTCGGGCAGCCCCGGACTAGTAACCAGAGACTGAGAACTGGCGAGTCACATGATCATCCGCCGCCCGGCCGCCCGGCCGCGGTCTGAGTCTACCCGGCCCCGGGGTACAATCTTTGCCCTGCCTCCGAGGCTCTGGGCACGGGGGAGCCTCGGAGTACGCGGGAAATTTTGAACGGGGTCATGGACTGATTTTTACTAGCGAGAGGTCACCCGCACTTGGCAATCATAGGGGGCCACCACTACTACTAGTGACTTCTCCGACACGATCTGTACCCATGCCACCACCACCCCCCGATCCTTTGAACTAGAGCCGAGAAATACTACCCTTCGTACATGGCCCAGTGGGGGGTCCGATCCGTTGGGAGGGGGGGGGTGGCTGAGTGGGAGGTCAGGGCCTCGACTCCACCCTGCTTTGTCATTGCTAATACTTGAAAAAAACTTCAGTACCGGCAGGGAGAAATGGTACAAACTTACTACCAGGAGCTCACAACTCCTGGTACAAATATAAAATCACCACATGTTGGCAAAATATCAAGGATTATAACATTTTAACATTGATCGGCACATCTTTCATCTTTGTTGGGGGAGAACGTGGAGGTAGGGGTACCTTTTGTACTAGCACCTCAGGGTGGACAGCACAGGGGTGGTCTGCTACGTCAAAGTTAACTGATCCGAAAATTCCAGGGGTCAGGGCACCGCTGAGATCTCAATGGCCAAGGGGAATCAGTGTGGGGGTGGGGTACTTCAAATGAGCCCTAGAGGGGTACTTGCTGCTGATATGACTGTGTAGCAATGGAGCGGGGGTACGTTTGTACACGGAAAATTTGGTGATGCCTGGTAGGGTGGGTACTGAAAGTTACGGAAGTCTAGGGGAAAGAAGGGGTAGTCCGCAAATACATCCCTGTTAAAACACCGGTACTTTGATAAGAATCTAGAGGCCAGGGGTAGTGGACGGAAGAAGATTTTGAGTCCTTTACAAAGTACTTTTAATAGGGTGGGGTGGGTGGGGTGGGGTGGCGAGTCTGGGGACTATAGGGGTACGGTGAATGGTCCGACAAGTCAAACAACTCTAGCAAGTGAGTTCTGCAAAGGGGGGTAGGGTCGTCAAGCAAACTAGAGTACAATTACCCCTCCTTTCTATAACAAATCTAGGAGTGTCTAAGGTAGGGTACGGTGCGGAAATTGAAGAGGGATGTGGTAGGGTACAGGTGCAGGGCAAAATGGCGACAGACTGGCACGGGGTCGTGATTGGGGAACGAGAGGACGGGGAGTGAGGATAGGAGGAGCAACGATCTAAGGAAGAAGCTTCAAGGGGTATCGGCAGTGAGATGATGCAGATTGGTCCCCTTGCGTTCCTCTACATGCACTAGCTGCCGTCTTCAACATTCGGCGCCGGTCACGACAGGCTCGAAAGACATTTCCGCAACTTTGCTAGATAGAGATTGACTGTAGGGTACGCGAGCTAGATGTCAGGCAGTCAGAAGATCATGGTTGCACGAGTCGTCCTGCATGTTTCGCTCAGTTGCTAAGGTTGACTGACTTGATGCTGGTTCAGACGATGGCTGGAGGGAACCAGGATCATGACTGGACTCGGAGCCTTTCAAGGATCATCCTGCCGCCCAATCTGTTCAACTCATCAGATCAGGAACAAGGCGGAAATGATGGCAATCAGCCTCCGAAGAAAGACATGGACGAGCTCGTGGACAGGGTGTCCAAGTTGGAGAGAATGTCGTCCATCAACCCGGGCAACGGCTCTCATGCCCATGCAAGCCTTGACAATGGGGCGCATGCGTCCAAGGATTTAAGCGAGCTGTTCCAACTGGGAGGGGATGAGAAAGGCGGGAGCGTGTCTGGAGGGGACACGCAGAAGAGTGGCTCGTCGATCAACCTCTGTACGAACCTCTGGGGTGGTCCGATACAGCCGAGAAGCGATCAGTCGCTGTGGTGTGCCATTGGTGAAGTCTGAGATCGTGTGTTTGATCCTAGTTTTCAGGGACTGGATGGAAAACTTTTTCGGAGGAGTGACGACAGCTCACGGCATCAACCGCGTGTTTGACGAGGACAATGGCATGTGAGCTTGTTAACGTTGCGGCCTTGATGTGTCGATGAGAAAATGTTATGCAGAATTCGCCGATTGTTCTGGTTCGGGGCATTCACAGCAAGCTTCTATGCTCTGTTCTTCTTCGTGATCGACTCGATCATGCTCTTTATCGAAGCCAAATCGGATACTGCCTTCGGACTGGACAGCCATGAAGGGGTATGCAGACGCATTTGCGAGGAACTCCTCCTTGTGTGAAGTTGCCTTTTTCCTCTGCAGACTCCATGTCCTGCAGATTCAATGTACAGATTGTTGAACGTCTTTGTGTTGATAGTGGCTTGTTCCAACAGTTTTGTTCTTTGCTGTTCGAACACATGCCCAATTCTCTCTTTTCCTATTTGAAGAGGCACAAGGCTGACAACGCTGCAGATCCTGCCAATGATGACAGTCTGCAACTTGAGTCCGATTCGGTGTGGCTGCTCTGGTTTCTACGATCCATCGTTGGCCACCGATGAATACCTACCGCTGGTAAGCCTATCAGCTCACAAGGAGGAACTCATCGTCCCGATTTCTTATCTTTTCCCCACAGGTCCTGCCATTTATCTGTAGTAGCGCCATCAATTTCTCGTGAGAAAAAGTGAGAGATCGTTTGCAACACCATGACTTCTGGAGACAGGGACTCGCTGTTCCTGGCCGACTCGTCCTCAACGTGCGTCCTGCTGTGCGGGACTGCGGCGGCTCTGTGCTAACTACACGATAGGATGGAGAACTCTCAGAAATACGTGGACAAGGCTGCAACAAGGATTAGCATGACGAACTTTCCAGAGAAACTGTAATAGAAGCGAGCAATCTTGCTGTTTTCGTGGAATGCTGACAACCATCTCAGGCAGTGCGGCTCGGGAGAATACACAGAGAAGTGGTTCGTGTCAGCTGTAAGGCAGTTGTATATCAGAAGAAAAGATGTCTGAGACGCTGTCAAAGGTGAAGAAGCAGCAGCTGCAATATCATGAGCTCATCCAATATGCTGGGTGAGAAGGCAACTTGAACACTGGATATGCCGATCATGCTCGGGCCGTGAACCTCTGGCAGGTACATGTCGAGGTCAAAGTTGTTGAGAAAGTGCATGGCAATCGACTCTGATCCCAAGTCGCCGACCTCTGGCAAAAAAGTCTCCTGTCTAGATGATAGGTATGGTTGACTTGTCTATTTGACAAACCCATATGCTTCCATCCTTGCCCCCCCTCGTTGAATTCCCCTCATGTTCTTTCTGAGATTTCTCCTTGCAGTTGGTGGGGCCCTCCTATTATCGACGAGAATTACGGAGCCTGCCACACATTCAACCCGTACGATGCTGGGCATGGAAGAGGAAGGAGTCACTTGATGGTGCAGGTGCCATGGGTTTCCTGTCGGAGATTCGTGCACAAAGGACGACGAGTACGTGGAGGAGCAGATCGAGGGGATGAGAAGGACTGAGTGAGAAACTCTAGGTGCAAGCACATGTACGACAAGGGAATGGTCGGAGGATTCTGCAACACTACCAAGAAGTATGTCTTGCGACTCGTTGTTGAACGAGATCAGAGTTTGGAGCTATCATGTCATTTGACTTTGATGCCTCTTGTCTGGGTCAAAATGCTTGTATGAGATATTCTGAATGTTAAGGAGTTGCAGAGGCTGTTGTAGTCTTATACCTGACTTCAAATCAGGACCTGCGAGTGCAACTTGTGCGCTTCCAAGACCGGTTGCAAGATGGCGAAACAGCTGAACCCAGGTCAGCTCGCCCTTTCTCTGATAGAGATCGAACCTGATTTCCTGCCGCAGGAAGAGGCAACGGAGTTCGAATGGTCCTCAATGTTGCGACAGACCAGGTTCGAGCCTGAACACCATTCGCCTCCTCCCTTCCTTCTCGTTCTGCTTCTTACCTTGATACGTCCTCTCGCCTCGCTCTCCTTCCAATGCAACTTGTTCTAGTCGTTTCATGTGCATCAATGATTCCAGCACCTACCTCATCTACTACACCCTCCCTCCTCCTCATCCCCCCCTTCCTTACCTTCTCCCTTCCTATCTTCGTCCTTCCCATCCTCCTCGTTTCCACACCCTTCCTCTCCATCCTCCTCTTCCCAACCTTCCTCCTTCCCGCCATCTACTCCTCGTCCGCTTCCGCTCCTCCTCTCCATGACGACATCGCAGGATGCCACCCTCACGGCAGCGTCCAAGGCGAGATGGAATCCTGGCGCTCTCGTTCACTTTCACTCTCACCATGACAATGGCAACCTCGGCGAAGCTTTCAGTGTGCCGCCCGGCAAGGTGAGAGAAGCTTTTCCGACGTCGCTTCCGGACTTGATTTAACGTTCTCACTTTGACTTTTTGTTTCGCCACTGTGTTGAACTCCCATGGTCTTGCATGAGCTGTTTGTGTTTGCCCCCTTCCTTCTTCCTGTCTTTTGCCTTTTGATGAGTTGGAGTCGTTATAGTCGGTTCCTACTCTCTCGTTCCTTGCTGAGTTTCCTCCAATGGCAGGTCACAAACTTTGGGATTGCAAGGGAAAACTACAAGGAGGCGGTGTATCCCTTCACCAACTGCTCCAAGTGGTTCAACGTGGATCCTTCCGTTTGCCAGCTCAACTGCCTGAGAAGACTGGATGTGAGACTCACTGTCCCCTCCCTTGCACCGAATCGTCTCTCCTTCCTCTCCTCCCGTGCAGAATCGGTGTCGATGTCTTCACCTCTGGTTCTTGTCTTGCTGCACTCCTCGAGCGCTGATCAAGCTTACCACTCTGAGTGAACTCCTTGCAGGCTGTCACCTGCTGCAAGCGGTCGATGGAGGATGTCACCAAGGGAAAGGAAAGTTTCGAATCTTTTGTCTGTGGGATTGTGAAAGTTGTATTCTGCGCAGCTCCCTGTCATCAACGTTTCGACTCCCAGCGGAGCTTTGGTCAACTTGAGCAACCCGATGCTGTCCTGCAACATTCTCGATGCTTCGGTGAGTTTTACTTGTCTAGTTCTCGGGCAGTGCTGCACGTGTGGCTGCTGTGCCTGACCTCTCCCCCTCCCTCCTCACTCTTCACCCAAGGTTGTCAACTGCTTTGCACAACAATCTCAGAGAGTGTCCGATGGCCTCGAGTGTCTCGACGGGGCCCTTGGAACAAGTTCGCCGTACTACAGTGAGATTCATGGACATGCTTCCATCATCGGATTGCTGCACTTCTTCTCTCATTGACAACTCCCGTTCTCTCCTCATAGGATACCTCCCTCCCTCTCCTTTAGCTCTCTTGCTCCTTCTCCTCCTCGCGACTTTCCGAGCTGTTTGTGTTTTCACATGCACATTCCCCAGAGGTGTGGAAGAGAACCAACTGGTACGACGACTCTGACGTCAACAACGAGACTGAAGTCGGCAAGCAAGAGAAGAGGTGAGATCGAGTGGGCATCTGTGCACTGTTGTGCTGATGGTGGTGAGAAGGAGTCAGAGTATCCTGAAGCAGTGCGTGTGGACCTCATCGCAGGTAGCACCCATCTACTACTTGCTGATCGGCACCACCACCTAGATTGCATCCTTCGCTCCTCCTCCTCTCTCTCTTCCTTCCCCCCCCCCCCCCCCATCCTCCTCCTCCTCCTCATGATCTTCTTCTTCTTCTTCTTCTTCTTCTTCTTCTTATCGTCTGCTTCTCCTCGTCCTGGTCTCCTACTCGTCGATGGGATCGATCCCCCTCATATTCTTGCTGACAGGGCAAGGACAACGAAGCAAACTACGGCAAAGAGTGCAAGATCGATTCTGACTGCAGTACAAGGTAAGTGTCCCATCCTTTGACTGACTTCATCCATATCGAACTTTTCTCACCATTCGGCTGCTAGCCAAGCTGGAGGAGTCAATGGAGTTTGTGCTGACGCCTCGCGCGCCTACTGCCCTCAACGATGCGAGTATGACAAGTTCTCGGTCGTGTCGCAGAGCTCTGGTGAGTGAAAGAGCTCGGAAGAGTGGAGGAGGGAGGAGAGGAGAAGGAAAGTAGGGGAGGGGCGCTAGGCGGGGGAAAGGGAGAGCAGGATGGGGAAAGGGGAGGGCGATAAGGGGCGATAAGGAAGAGGTTCCTTACGAGAAGCATGAAGGAAGGCAGAGGATGAAGGAACCACAAGAGGGAGGGAGGGAAGGAGGAAGCGATTGACTCTGATGTCAGCCGACATGTCCGTCGGAACGATTAAGATCATCGCAGCGCAAGAGCTTGCAGTTGTGACGCAGTCCTACCTCGTGACGCCGGAAATTAGAAGGTGAGGCGCACGAAGGCGGAGGGGAAGTAGTCAAGGAGTAGATGAAGCAAGAGCAGGTGGTGGTGGAGGAGGAGTAAGAGCAGGAAGTGAAGAAGCAGGGAGGGGAGAGTGGGCAGTAGATGAGCTGGAGCTGGAGCTGGAGCTGGAGCTGGAGCTGGAGCTGGAGCTGGAGCTGGAGCTGGAGCTGGAGGGCAGATCTGATTGCTCGCAGGTGGAAACCGAGGTGCGATTCAGTACCTGCAGGGACCGATTGCTTCAACGACACACAAGCACAGGCTGTGAGTGAAAACGAACAGAGAGGAGGGGGAGAGAGAGAACGGGAAGGAAGTGGGGGTGAAGGGATGAAGGGAGAGCGATGGCAGGGGCGAGAAGAGAGCGAGGAGGAAGAACTGTGGCGACGGGAAGGAAGGCAGGCAGAGGAGGGGAAGGAGCTCGTGATAGGCTAGAAAACAGACTGGTGGGCTGGGGGAAAAAACAAAAAAAACGGACTGGTGGGCTGGGGGAAGCGGAGGCTTCACCGAGAAGACGAGGAGGAGCAAACAGGGAGAGGGAGAGAGGGAGAGGGAGAGTAAGAGAGGGGATGGGGGGCATGTAGAAGGATAGGAGACGAGGCGGGAGGAATGACTGGAAGGCAGTTGGTGAAGGACAGCTACTCGCTCATCAACATCGACTACCTCAACTTCGACATGGTCTCATCGCAGAAGGTTCTTGCGACCCTTTGAGATTTCCCAGCTGATCTCCCAGCTCAGGTGGGGTCCATCAGCCTTGCCACCCTCATGGGAACAGTCGGAGGAAACCTCGGGATGTTTACGGGCATCAGCGTCATGACGATCATGGAGGTGACGCACCGCGGCTCCTTCCTCCTCCTCCTCCTCCTCCTCCTCCTCCTCCTCCTCCTCCTCCTCCTCAACATCACCACCACCATCATCATCATTTCCATCATCATCATCATCATCCCCCTATCTAATCCTTTGTCTCATCCTCATCCTATTCCCAATTCATCCCCCTCCTCCTCGAAACCATCTTTCCCCCTTCCCTCTCTCCCCCTCGTGCTCCTGCTCCCTCCTCGTTTCATTCCAGCATCTCCCTCCCTTCTCCCTCCCCCTTCCTTCCCCTTCGCTCTCTGCGATGACTCTACATTTCTCGATGTCCTTGCCTCTGCCGCCTTTCTTTCTGTCATTGCTCGCTTTCTCTCTCTCCCTCTCCTCCTCCTTCCTAGGTCATCTGAACGCTCTGCAGTGGCTCGAGCTTCTCTTCTTCGCCATCGTTTCCATGCCCTTCTTCTTCTGCGGCATCAAGTTCGGCCCCTTCATCCGTGCAAGCTCCTCGCAATCCATGGACGACGAGGTTTCTTCCCCTCCTGCCCGCTCCTTCCAATCGACCCATCCTTCCTTCCCCTCCCCTTCCCCCCTTCCGGCTCTTGCTCCTTCCCTTCCTCCTCCTCTCCCTATTCCTCTTTGTCCTCCTCCTCTACCACCATCACCACCACCTCCTCCTCATGATTTTCGCTTTGATCCTCTCCCCCAACACCCGAGCACCCCAACTTTTCCTCCCCTTCTCCGACCGTCCTCTTTCTTCTTAGCATCTCCCTGATGCCTCCACAGGAACTGATAGACGACGATGTCAAGCAAGTGCTCATGAACATCAAGAAGATCGCGGCGAAGAGGAAGGGGAAGGTACCAACCTCCCCCACCCCCTCTCTCCCTCCTCCGCTTTCCTCCCACAAGTTTTTCCCTTCTCCTCCGCTTGCCCCCATCTCTTCCTTCTTGCATCAGTTTCCTCTAGTCCCCCATGCCTCCTCCCCCATTTCCCCTCCTTCCTATGGCTGATGGGAACCTGGCTTCTCCTCCTCCTCCTCCTCCTCCTCCTTCACCACCACCACCACCACCCCCTCTCTCCCTCCGCTTTCCTCCCACAACCACCACCACCTCCCCCCTCGTCTTCCCTCATTCTTCCCCTTCCCCCTTCAAGGACCTTCTCATCTCATCTCCTCGCAGGACGGGGACTCGGAAGCCGTCGCTCTCCCAGTGGAGGAGTCTTCCTCTCCGGCCGTTACCGCCAACCTCGCCGAGTTCCGCATGTGAGCTCCAGCAGGAGCCGAGGACATGTCACGCAGCCTACTGTGATACCTTTACACTTCCCAGCTGCTACCCCTGCCCAGCTCGCTTGCTCACCCTCGCCCTGTGCGCTCTTACCTCCTCCTCCACCTCCTCCACCAGGTGCACCCGCATGCTCCCCTCCTTCGCCAGCGATCTCAGCGTCACGTCCGTCTCGCACGTCAGCAGCTGCAGCCGCCGCCTCTCCGCCTTCACCCTCGAGCTGATGGAGTTGACAAGTTCGCGCCTGCACTGCAGGGCAGTCAGCCCCTCCCACCTCTCCTCCCAGCTGCTCACGTCGGCTCCTGTCACGACCTTGCACGCCTGCTCCTTCCTCCCCTCCGGGTACACATGGAAGAATGGAACAACCTCTGCCTCATCCAAGCACCTCGTACGCTGCTGCAGCGTCAGGAGGAGGAGGAGGGGAAAGGGCGACCCACGTGGTGGAGGAGGACGATCTCCTGCTTGTTGACGGCAGAACGGAAGAAGTTGACGGGGTCTGAAACCTGAGAAGGGAGAGAGGATGAGGATGAGAGGAGCGGCTGAAGCTCGAGAAGACAAGGAGGGAGGGAGGAGGACGGAGACTGTGGTGGTAGGGAGCGATAAAGAGAGCAACCGATTCGAAGGAAGGGAGGGGAGGAGGAATGGGAGGAAAGCGGTGGAAGGAAGGGAGGGGAAAGTAGAGAAAGGAGGGAGAGCAAAAGGGTGGAGGAGGAGGAGGAGGAGGAGGAG